TATACAATACTGGGATAATTTTATCAGTGAGTCACTGGGGTCGGGGTTATACAATACTGGGATAATTTTATCAGTGAGTCACTGGGGTCGGGGGTTATACAATACTGGGATAATTTTATCAGTGAGTCACTGGGGTCCGGGGTTATACAATACTGGGATAATTTTATCAGTGAGTCACTGGGGTCGGGGGTTACACAATACTGGGATAATTCTATCAGTGAGTCACTGGGGTCGGGGTTATACAATACTGGGATAATTTTATCAGTGAGTCACTGGGGTCGGGGGTTATACAATACTGGGATAATTTTATCAGTGAGTCACTGGGGTCGGGGGTTATACAATACTGGGATAATTTTATCAGTGAGTCACTGGGGTCGGGGGTTATACAATACTGGGATAATTTTATCAGTGAGTCACTGGGGTCGGGGGTTATACAATACTGGGATAATTTTATCAGTGAGTCACTGGGGTCCGGGGTTATACAATACTGGGATAATTTTATCAGTGAGTCACTGGGTCGGGGGTTACACAATACTGGGATAATTTTATCAGTGAGTCACTGGGGTCGGGGGTTATACAATACTGGGATAATTTTATCAGTGAGTCACTGGGGTCGGGGTTATACAATACTGGGATAATTTTATCAGTGAGTCACTGGGGTCGGGGGTTATACAATACTGGGATAATTTTATCAGTGAGTCACTGGGGTCCGGGGTTATACAATACTGGGATAATTTTATCAGTGAGTCACTGGGGTCGGGGGTTACACAATACTGGGATAATTTTATCAGTGAGTCACTGGGGTCGGGGGTTATACAATACTGGGATAATTTTATCAGTGAGTCACTGGGTCGGGGTTTATACAATACTGGGATAATTTTATCAGTGAGTCACTGGGGTCGGGGTTATACAATACTGGGATAATTTTATCAGTGAGTCACTGGGGTCGGGGTTATACAATACTGGGATAATTTTATCAGTGAGTCACTGGGGTCGGGGGTTATACAATACTGGGATAATTTTATCAGTGAGTCACTGGGGTCGGGGTTATACAATACTGGGATAATTTTATCAGTGAGTCACTGGGGTCGGGGGTTATACAATACTGGGATAATTTTATCAGTGAGTCACTGGGGTCGGGGGTTATACAATACTGGATAATTTTATCAGTGAGTCACTGGGGTCGGGGGTTCACAATACTGGGATAATTTTATCAGTGGTCACTGGGGTCGGGGTTATACAATACTGGGATAATTTTATTAGTGAGTCACTGGGGTCGGGGTTATACAATACTGGGATAATTTTATCAGTGGTCACTGGGGTCGTGGGGTTATACAATACTGGGATAATTTTATCAGTGAGTCACTGGGGTCGGGGGTTATACAATACTGGGATAATTTTATCATTGAGTCACTGGGGTCGGGGTTATACAATACTGGGATAATTTCATCAGTGAGTCACTGGGATCGGGGTTATACAATACTGGGATAATTCTATCAGTGAGTCACTGGAGTCGGGGGTTATACAATACTGGGATAATTTTATCAGTGAGTCACTGGGGTCGGGGGTTATACAATACTGGGATAATTTTATCAGTGAGTCACTGGGGTCGGGGGTTATACAATACTGGGATAATTTTATCAGTGAGTCACTGGGGTCGGGGGTTATACAATACTGGGGATAATTTTATTAGTGAGTCACTGGGGTCGGGGGTTATACAATACTGGGATAATTTTATCAGTGAGTAACTGGGTCGGGGGTTATACAATACTGGGATAATTTTATCAGAGAATCACTGGGGTCGGGGGTTATACAACACTGGGATAATTTTATCAGCGAGTCACTGGGGTCGGGGTTATACAATACTGGGATAATTTTATCAGTGAGTCACTGGGGTCGGGGGTTATACAATACTGGGATAATTTTATCAGTGAGTCACTGGGGTCGGGGGTTATACAATACTGGGATAATTTTATCAGTGAGTCACTGGGGTCGGGGGTTATACAATACTGGGATAATTTTATCAGTGAGTCACTAGGGTCGGGGTTATACAATACTGGGATAATTTTATCAGTGAGTCACTGGGGTCGGGGGTTATACAATACTGGGATAATTTTATCAGTGAGTCACTGGGGTCGGGGGTTATACAATACTGGGATAATTTTATCAGTGAGTCACTGGGGTCGGGGGTTACACAATACTGGGATAATTTTATCAGTGAGTCACTGGGGTCGGGGGTTATACAATACTGGGATAATTTTATCAGTGAGTCACTGGGGTCGGGGGGTTATACAATACTGGGATAATTTTATCAGTGAGTCACTGGGGTCGGGGGTTACACAATACTGGGATAATTTTATCAGTGAGTCACTGGGGTCGGGGGTTATACAATACTGGGATAATTTTATCAGTGAGTCACTGGGGTCGGGGGTTACACAATACTGGGATAATTTTATCAGTGAGTCACTGGGGTCGGGGGTTATACAATACTGGGATAATTTTATCAGTGAGTCACTGGGGTCGGGGGTTACACAATACTGGGATAATTTTATCAGTGAGTCACTGGGGTCGGGGGTTATACAATACTGGGATAATTTTATCAGTGAGTCACTGGGGTCGGGGGTTATACAATACTGGGATAATTTTA